TTATTTGGAGTCAAAAACATAACTTTAATAGCTTAATCCTTTTAATTAAATTCAACAATATCATCATACAGAATTCTGATACAGTGGTTTAGGTAACTCATTTCAAATTATTCTTTTCTTTCTTCTTTTTTTTTTTTGTTTTACTTCTGATTGATTCAAATGCTACTTAATAACTTTAACTCATCAAATATTTATTGAGTAGTTACAATATTTTCTCAATATTCAAGAAAGGACAACAAGGGTTTAAGAAAACTTTTTCTTCCTAAACAGGTCTGGAAGTAATAATGGGAGAGATATAGGTGAAGAAAGAGCTAAGATGTATTGTATATCTGTGTTCCAGCTTCCTGTGATGAACATAATCATTATGTTCTGAAGCATATGTTAATAATAGATTAAAAAATAAATAGAAAACAAGAAGAGCCTCATGTGTCATTGAAAATATGTATTTTAGAATAAAATATTCTTCACTTTATGACATTTGTCTTGAATGAGTCATACTTTAATGGGGTATGTAGGTTGTTTCCACCTTTGGAAGCATCGGTGTCTCTTTTATTTTATAAGAAGCTGAGTTCTGAATTCAAACAATGTGAATTATAGAATGATAATGCGAACATTACCAAAAATATGTCTTTGGATCTTAACACTAAATTATAAGATCTAATCATGCATATGCCATGTGTGAATGTTTTATTCAATGTGAAACTTTTTCTTTAGAAATTTTAAACCATGAGATGAAACCTCTAATAGGGAATAATGATACTGTCATAGCCTCAACAAATTTAATAAGAATTGAGCAAGAAAAATGGAAGTTATTTACTGAAATATAAAATCACATTCACAGTAAAATGTCACTTGTAATACAATGGTCCAGTAATATATCACTTATCAAGAAAGCAAATAAAAATTATGTCTTACCTAGCATGTTGGATTGAGATATGGAATAGCCAAACTGTTGTTCCATGTACTTGAAGAGGTACGTAAAGCTGCCAACAAAGCCACTGAACTTCATCAAGGTAAAAAGCATAAATATCACATAGAGATGGTTTGTAAGGAGCTTTTTCAGAGACTTCAAAAACTCTAAAATTATAAAAATATCAGATTACTAAAATGTATTACAACTATATATTAAAATAGTAATCATGTATCAGAAGATTTTTAGCAACAGTGAAATAGCTCAGCAGGTTAAGCACCTGCTTAGGCAGTCACAGGGGCCGGAGTTTGATCCCTGACACCACATGCAGCAGCAGTCTCCCTCCCCCCACCCACTCCCCGAGCCAGTGACCGAGGTCGGGCATGGTGATGCAGTTCTGTATTTTCAGCTCTGGGGAGGTTGAAAACAGGGATCACTAGGAGTCTGAGCTGCTTAGTGAAATCCTGTACTAAATTTAAAAAAAAAAAAAGATTTTTAAATTACACAAATACATAAAAGAAAAAACAAGAGTAAACTGAAATCTTATTCACAGATTTTTAAAATCTGTTCCTTCACTGTTTTCTATACATATTGTTTTTCTTTGTTTTTTCTTTCTTTTTTTTTTTTTTTTTTTTTGATACAGTACAGGGGATCAAACTCAGAGATCAAAAAGAAAAGAGCAGATCTGATAATGGGTATTGAACATCTTGCTCTTATATCTGTAAAGATTTTTATTAGATATGGTCAACAGCGACACTTCTATCTCATGCTAAGAAATAGTTTTATTGGCATGTAATAATAAGAAAAGACCGCCAAGTTAGAAGGCAAAAGAGTGAAATGAAGAGGAAAAGAAAATATATAGTGAAATATATATAATTCCTTCAACCTTTTGACTATTACACATGCTTGTGCCGGTGATAAGACAGAGCATGAAATTTCTGCCATGGACAAAAGTTAGGAGCTTATAGCACCTCTGTGGACCGGTTACCGTACAATTCTTGCAGTGACGTCACTTAAGACATGATGCCACAATTTACTATTGCTCCTTACTGCATCTTAGGGCAAGGGATGTATAATAATTCCAGGAAAGAGGAAAGAAAGTGTATAGAAAGAATAAGCAACATTTTAAATGGTTAGACCAAAATACTAAGCTTCTCTCCTTAGGACCAACCATTCAGAAGTATCACCACTGGATTGTGAGGCATTCTGAATATGTGGTGACATGTAAGGCAAACGAGTGCAGCACATGAATTCATCAAGTCATTGAATTGCTGAGGTGGGTGGGAATTGAGATGCTATTGAATCAGGACTCTCACACAATCAAGATTCATTGTGTATTATTATTTACATGCATTTTGCAATGAACTAAAGCCTTGCTTTATTTTTAACCATTCAGTTCTACTCAAGACCATAAATAAACCCAATAATTTTTCTTCTGACATGATGTTCCTAGGTACTTCACATATTCCCAGTATGCACAGAACTAAGTTCCTCTGTACTCCTCAGGTAGCTGCCCAAGTTATTTCAAATATGGCTGATGTTTATAATTGTCCAATTTTTGCAATGCCGTCACTTTTTCTCTTCTTTTCTCATCATACAGGGAAATCGAGTTCTTACAAGGATAGACCGTTTGCTAGTGTTTATGAGTGTGATATGGTAGCATATACAAGAATTAACAATTTTGATGTTTTTTTATGAGTGTGCGTGTTAAACTTCAAAAACTGCTAATTCAGTGACCCGTTGGTAAATACTGAACTACCGATCCTACAGTAACATATACTTGTGCATAGCATGTCCCAGTTTCCACAGTAGTGAAGTGTGATAACCTCTCCTAATGTGGCCAACTTCAAGACCTAATGTAGTTGAAAGATGTACAAGATGGTTCACCATTGTTCTTCGTTTAAAGTGATAGAAGAAAATAACAATGAAATTGGTAAACTGAAGAACTGAGAAGTGGCAGTACTTGAGTTACACTGGATTATTTATTTATTTATTATTTTGTCATTTATATATTTGGTACAGGGTCTCACTATACAGCTCAGACTTGTAGCGATCCTCCTGTTTTCAGCCTCTCCAGCTCTGGGATTACAACCATGTGCCACCATGCCCAGACTCATTTGCCTGCTCAGAGTGCCCCAGGGGCAGGGCTGGTGCGACATGTGGGACTGGGGATCCAACTCTGGTCCCTGAACTTGCCAAAGCAGGCACTTAGTCTGCTGAGCTATCTCACTGGCCCTATACCTGGTAATGTATAAGAACATCTCAATCAACCTCAGGCTGCTGAGGGTGTAGGCATTGCACAACTTTAATATTTCACCAATTCTCTTCAGTGTGAAAACTATTGCCAATACATCATCATTCCACTATTTTTCTGGATTAGTCCCTTGGCCATTATGTGCAAGTGCTTCTCTACTACCCTCAGGGTCTTATATTTTAAACAGAAGCCACTGTCAAACAGAAGAATCCTCGTTCATACTACTGACTTCAATTACTCAAGTGTACTACTGTTGCAAAACCTATAGTGAACCAAATAGAAAATGCTCTGCACCAAGGATTTGGAGAGCAACTTTCCTTAATGTCAGTAAAATGAGAAGACCTTGCCCCAAATTTTCAGCACTGGCTTAAAGCAAGACAGCAACTTACATACATTTTGTAAGCAGCAAGTACAAAGCTGATAGAGTTAGTCCATAATTGGCTACTATACAGTTTAGTTTATAATGTATACATACATTGAGTCATATGTTGTCAGGCAGCTGTGTCCCTGCACAGGTTTAACTGGAGGAGGTTATTTACCATGAGACAGGAAGATCCCGGGAAAGTCCAGGTCCCAGGCAAGTAAGATTTAGTATGATATTGACAGGGCTGGTCTGCTTCTTATAGATAGTTCTTGGAGCAAGCTAGCAAAGCAGCATATTTGTGGAAGCCATTGTGTTGCCCCAGAGTGCTAAGTACATTTTACCTCTGAGCTATAGCTAAATTTAAAATTAAAATATAGCTTCATAGTCAGTTTATCAGACTCAACAAGTCTGCAAGTATCAGACTCCTGCATATTCTATATTTTCCCCTGAAAATTATTACATTTAACTTGACTATGATTCTTAAAAGAGTTAATTACAATTGCCTCCACAGTCTCAGTATCAAGTAAATCCCTGGAAAACAGAAAATATTGTTCCACTATTCCACTATAGTATCATGTGGTGCCTGGTACTACATGTTGGATGGATAAATGAATGCAATATTAGAATTTATTTAACTCAACATCATATATATATAATACATATATGTTTTTAATTTTTTTTTACAGTACCAGGGATCGAACGCTGGACCTCACACTTACCAGGCAGATTCTCATGCCACTGAGCTACCTCCCCAGCCTTATATTATATAATTTTGAAATGAGTTCATGCTCTTTGCTTCATAGAGCACAATTTTACTTTCGCATTTGGTTGTTCTCTCCATGCTAAACATCACCGTTCAAACCTATTCAGTTTGTTCTATGTACAAGCACAATTTTACCAATTTTAACAGAAATCTGAGAAAAAATAATTCAGATACATTTAGTGCCCAAGGAAGTTAACTCCAGAATTTCAGAGAGTTATTATTTTGTAATATTCAATCTTCCTTTCCATTAGGACTAACAATTGCACATTGACTGTAGCTTTATTTTAGTTTAGTTTAGTTTATTTGGGGCCAGCTCAGCCCACCCTGGGGACGGGGCTGGTGCAGCATGTGGTGCCAGAGATTAAACCGCTGTCCCTGTGCTTTGCCTAAGCTTGCCTAAGCAGGTCCTTTAGTCCACTGAGCTATCTTGTCGACCCATGACTATAACTTTAAAACACTTACCAGTTATAGTTAAAGTAGCATGTTGTTCAGGATTGTTCAAATTAGCTGTTTGGCTTTTTTCCTCATCTGATTTGAGTCCTTGCACATCTGTTGAAACTTTACTTTCTTCCTGTGGTTTATTTGGATTTCGTGGTAGGAGAAAGAATGGTATGGAAGAAATGATGGACAGGGACCCAGATATAAGGAAACTGAGCCACCAGGCACCAACCCAGCGGGTGTCATTAGGAGTTATTCTGATGGTGCCTAGAATGAACAGTGAGGAAAAGGGAAGTCAAAAATCATTCTGAAATACAGTAAGTGATGAGCAGTATTGATAATGATTGTTGTCCTCAATAGATGAATATAGAAAACTATATTTCGTTGATTCAAAGATGCTGTTTTCAGGGGCTGGCAAGATAGCTTAGTGGTCTAAAGTGCCTACTTAGGCAAGCTTACGCAAAGTGCGCAGGGACTATGGTTTGACTCCCTGCACCACATGCCACACCATCCCGCTCACAGAATTGGCTGAGCTGGTCACAAAAAGAAAAAAAAAAAAAAGATGCTGTTCATGCTATTTTCTTCTTTCTCTACTTTGTCATCTTGGAAATTGTCTTACGTTAAACATTTGATATCTTCCTATTACTGCTGTTTAAGAAATGTCCTAACAGTGCTGTCACAGACTGAGCTTCTTTGAACTTGGTTGCTTTCCCAGAGACAAGACCGAAGAACTGCCAGTGCTGGACCTCTGAGCCTGAAATCAATTTGCAAGCTGTAGAAAG